ACATATTATCTAATTTACCTATGTACTACAGACTCCAATCGATCATCTTCTTGTTCACTTTTTTCAAATATTCATTCACCAATGAAAAACATCTCGAATTGTTAAATGATCTGTCCCTATTTAGAGGTGATGGATGCCCAGACTTGATTACATGACCATTCCTTACAAAACTGGCCTTTTCCTTTGCTTATTTACCTATAGGATTGTTACGACTTCTCGTTTATCACTGACTAGCTTAATAATCTTATCAGTAAATTTTTGCCACCCCAATCTATTATGCGAACCAGATTTTCTCCTTTCTACTGTCAAGATCAAGTTTAAAAGTAATACATTTTTTGACACTTTCCAAGGATCCTATTTTAGGTCTAGACCATTTCACGTCTTCTATATCCCATTCTAATAGATTAAATATCTTTTTAAGTGATGGCTTGATAGTCTCAGAACTGAATGCCAAACCATCTGCATCATTTGGATATGGATCCTGACCAACAATTATCACGGAGATATCGAACGGAGACATCTTAAAACACCGGAATCTGAGATTTCTTTGTGGGAGTACATCGATACCTCTACCTTCGATAGAGGCGATTTGTCTTTTGATGTTTAGATAATATTCACTAACCAATTCATCTTTTAATAGATATAACCAATCTTCATGCATCTGTGCAAATTCATCTCTAAGGAGAAACTTTCTATCATCGTTTAGATTATCCCATATACTTTTTGCTTTTTCTTTATTAGAAACTTTACTGATGGTAAAAAATCTTTCGAGAGTATTACTCTGTTGTGTGAGAGTTTTGTTATCAGTTTTTGCTTTTTTATTAGAGATTTTTTCATTAGTTTTTCTAGTACGTTTAACCATGACTGGTTAACTATTAACATAATGTTTGCTATATAAATACCTGCTTTTAGTGTAACACTAAATGCAATATAAATATACTAAATATTTGTATCTATATTTGCCATTATATCTCCACCATTAATAAATCACGACGTGTGGTAAGACAGCAAAGAAATCCATTTAATCATTCTAGTAATAAAGATGGTGGTACTTTAGAGTTCACTTATACAGTCGCTAATGACAATCTCGTAACTGGGGAGACATTTGAATGAGTTATCCATGAAAATTTCAAAAATCTATCAATGTTTAAAATTTGTTCCCATGTTATTGTCTACGAGATGTACCACTGATGTTTCTCATTGGGCTTTTCATACCTAAGCATATCGGGTCCTATATTGTATTCACACATTATTGACAGGTACAAACTTGCAAAATCAAATACATAAATAGGATCCATGTAATATCCGGTCTCTGGGTCGATTACCTCTGCACCTTGAAATTTCTTCTTATTTTTGATACCATACGATACCGGCTTGTCATTATGTTCCTTATTATACTCCTTAGCTATAAGACAATTCAATATGCTTGTTTTACCACCACAGAATGGTTGTGCATATTCACCGTTATAAATCATCACATCTAATCAGTTTAAACTAGTTTTTGCATCTTAATTATGCTCAATAGGACTGCCCATGAATCATAGAAGCAATATTCAAGGATGTCTGTACAAAG